TTTGGACAACACTCTCAGGCACATGGTGTGACTTTTGGGGCTGCCCTGTGCAGGGTCAGGAGCTAGACTCGATGATCCTTGTGGGTCCCTTCCCATTCAGGATATTCCATGATAATATGATAAATTAGAGGAGATATAAAAGGAAGTTAGCATCAAAAGAGAAATATGGAAGAGGCCATAAGCATGTCTGCAAGTGCACATTGTAGAGCTGAATAAAGGCAAAGGTAGCATAAACAGAAGTGCTTGAAGCTGAGTGGCACAGATAGGAAGTAATCCATCAGTCAGGACTATCAGAAAAATTTTGGCATGAATTTTATGCTATTACATGAAATTGAATCAAAATAAACAAGCAGTGCATGGCAAGAAATCAAAGCAATGGTGAAGCTTTTTAGGGATTTATGCAGCTTCTTTTAATCCATGATAAATGAAACTTATCCCAGTGAAATTTACCCCCACAACCAAACAGTTAAGCTCTTGAAACTGGCATCTGCAGACAAGGATAAATTTTTCACTCTTTGCTTTTCTTACTTTGATATGAACGGTGTAATTTTTTTGATCTGATTTGTTTAAAGCAGTACCAAAAATGGCACAGTTATCAAATGTTATGCAAAATGTGCAAAAAGTTTCACCAAAAGTGAAACAGTATTCTTCACAAACTTACATGTAGATATGTGCACATCTGTGAGCGTGTATGGTTAGGAAGTATATGAGTGTGGACTCTGCTGGCAATGTCCCTTTGCAAAAAACTCGCCTTATTTATTTAGTTGTAAAGTTTTGTTTGAGAAAAAATGTACTTGGTTTGCATGGCAAGGTTTTGGTAGCAGAAGGGCTGCAGGGGTGGCTTCTGTGAGAAGATGTAAAAGCTTCTCTCATGTCCGATGGAGCCAATGCCAGCTGGCTCTGAGATGGACTTACCACTGGCCAAGGCATCAGCAGCAGTGGTAGCACCTCTGGAATAACTTATTTAAGAAGGAGAAAAATACCTGTACAATACCAGCAGCAGCCAAGAGAGAGAGAAGTAAGAATATGTGAGAGAACAGTTCTGCAGACAGCCAGGTCAGTGAAGAAGGAGGGGAAGGAGGTGGTCCTGGCACCAGAGCAGAGGTTTCTCTGCAGAAAATTTTTTTAATATTTCAAAACCAGATAGGCAGGTAGATAGTTCTAGAAGCACATGTATATTTTGCAAGAAAAAAACCCTCACACACAAAAAATGTGATTTGGGTCTTGAGAGCTAGGTAACTACCTAAATGTAGATCTCCCAGAGAAAATTCATTTAAACTGAAGCTACCTTTGTGTTTTCCAGAGCACTTGACATGAAAAAATGTATTAGAAAGCCAGACCAGTGGGTGTTAATTTTGCACTTCTCAAACCAGAGATGGATTATTAGATATAGCTGGAGCCTTTATGTTGACAGTCAAATGCTGAATTCCCAGAAAGGTTGACACGTTAATACTTACATGCAAAAGGTCTCATTGCCCAAGGGTTCACTTGTTTTGTCAATGATTTCCATTGCATATGCTCAGTCTCCCATGAACCAAAGCAGGATTGTCACCTGAAAATTTCAGTCTGTGAAGAATGTGAGGTACTGACTGCTACTGAACAAACCCTGGCTGTTTGTTTATAATAGGATAATCAGCAATGCCATTTCTGGTCACTGCTCAAAAAAAAAAAAAAATTAAATACATGAAGCAATGCTTGGAATTGGTGCAATTTTGAGTTACAAGAAAAATATACATATAGAGGAGAGGAATTTTTACAGAGACCTGTGAAGTACTACTTCAAATTAAAAGGTATATTAACTGATTTAATATTCTAATCCTAACTGAGATTTTATCTGGAAAAACTTTGTAAGAGGCACAGTCATATCAGATGAGAATTGAAGTGCTTCTCTGTAATATGTTTATTGGCTTTGAATGAAGCACAACTGATGGTTTGGTCACGGAACCTGCCAGAGGGCAGCTTGCTTTAATGGGAAGTAAACAACCAGTGACTTTTCAAGGTAACAGTGAACCTGAGGGTGCAGTTAAACTTCAGCTTAAGCTGATTTAGGTGATTAGTTTTTAGCCAGCAAACTGTCCTGAACCTGCTGTCTGTAGGAACACATAAACTGGCCTTGCTGTTGGGGACTGCACTGGGAGAAGGGATGTCATGAAGACTCATCCTGTCAAGAACAATGCAGATTTTTTTTTAAATCTGTGAAATTCTTCTTCAGCTTAGGAATGCTCAGTGGTTTTGTTAGTGTGCATGTTTGATGTGAACTGGGCTGTTTCACCTTTCTTCCTCTCCAATTTCACTGGCATAAGCTTGCAGTGAGCAGCAGCTGCGGTTTATGCTGCAATCTCCAGACAGGTGTGTCCTACCTTTAATATTTCAGATGAGATTAAACCACTGATACATCCATGACCACTTCAAGACCAGGAAGGAGAAGCTGTAGGCCTACCTTCAGTTAGATGTGCAGAGCAGAGAGCTAGGCATCAGTTCTTGTGTACTTACCAAAATCATCTGCATGTTCCCAACTAAAATTTTATTTATTTTTACTGCAGTGCAACTAGATTCACAAATGTGATCAGTACAAAAGCAAATATGCTTGCAGTTAACAGCTGTTAAGACTAAGCTTTAGGCACATTCTGCAAATGAAATGTGCAGCTGCATAAGAGTTTATTCTATCTCAATAAACCAAATCAGACCCAAATCAACCAGAGAAAAAGTGGTTTAGGCCCAAACCAGTACCTATTTATCTGTAGGACACCAGACCTACCTTCACAGTGGTAGGAGTTCAAATTATTTGCTGGGCAAAGGCAGTGTAGCTGGTCCACAAAGGAAAATCAGCTATTAAGAAATGGCAGGTGCTAGGCAAGGTCATGATAACAAAGATAGATAGTTTCATCCCAAATTTTTTTTTCTTGAATAATCTAGTTATGGTTAATCAAAGATACTTTTTATAGCAACGCGATCTGTGGAGACCCCTAAAGTTCAGTGTGTTTGTTTGCCTTTAAAAACAATCCATCTACTTTAATAGAGCAATCAATTGTTCTGCATTAAAGGTGCATTGCAAATATGGGGGTTTTCCAAGTTTCCTGGAGATAGCCTTGTAGAGCTTTTTACGTCAACTGAAGAGTTTTATTTGGTGTCCCAGTGAACTCTCAGCTGAAGCACGAGCTAACAGAGGTGCCTAAACCAGCCTCAGTGCAGTGGGTGGAATCCAGGCAGTTACACATGCACAGAAATCAGCATCGTTATGGGAGCAATCTGTTTCCAACTGTTTCCCCACATTTATCATCATTTGGAAGGACTTGACCACCTGGTTTGGAAGAAATCTCAAGCCCAACAGCATTAGTCTTAATGCCAGGGATGGTGCTGTCTGGTAAAAAGGACTGGGCACCAGGAGGAATTGGATTGCTCCGTGAGCCTTTGTAATTGTGTGGTCACCACGCAGGATGAGACACGGTAGCCGCAGTGTCCTCACATTATTAAAACATCAGTAACCAAACCAGCAATGTACTTCTGGAAATGAGATTATTCAGGAAATACTGCTGCTTGAGAAAGGGAGAGACTTGGCCTCCAGCCTGGTTCCTGAGCTGACCCCAGGCAAGCAGGTGGGTAGAGATGGCCACACTCTCCACCATATGGTGTTCCTCAGTGCTGAGCATCGTACCAGCATCAGCAGTCTCTACATTCGTAGGGCTTTTAATTAGCAGGGTGCAAAAATGAGCAAAACCAGCATGAAAATCAGTAAGTGAAATAATAAAAGCTTCAGTGGCATAGAAAGCATATAAAACTCTTGCATTTTAGCCTGGTAATTATTCTCTTCTGATGACTGAAATATTTAGACCAGAAAAATTCCACTCAGATAAAAGCATCCATCTCTTCATGAAGGATAACAAGTAAAGCATCCTGAGAGAGACAAAAATATGCTCTCTTGAAGTCTCGGGGGCTCAGTTGTTCTCTGACCTTTCCATAGGCAAGCTGCAGTCCAAACCCTCCACGGGCCATGAGTGGGGGACAGGGACCAGCCTGCCCTGTTGTTGTTTCCCAGTTCAGCAGTCCTGCACTGTCTATCGAGCTTTCTCAGCAGGAGGAGTTTGAAGGTCTGGCCAGTACATGCTGCAGTCAGCAGCCTGCAGGCGGGTTGTCTTTCAGGCTGACAGGCAGCCCCACCTTTAATTTGGAGCATGTTTAATTCCCCCGGATCTCGATGCAACAAGTATCAAATGAGTGAGGTCAGTCTTCTACTGTTTCCTCCAGCTTGGCTTGGAAACTTTGCTTGGTTGGCACTCTCACCTGCATGGAAAAAGGCATAAAGCTACCTTAACTGTGAAGAATTTACTTAATCCATGACTGAAATACTGATTTCACAAAGCAAAATCATTATAAATAAGGCTCGCCTACTGTATCATGCAAAGTGTGATATATTGGTGTATTATTTTGTTACAAAGTATTAACAAGCTTATATTTCTTGTGGCAAATAAGTCTTATTAACATTTCCTGCTTAGTAAATAAACAGTGGAAATGTGTCCTACTCTTCTAGTATGTCATTTTCCTTTTGTGCTAACAGTCAATTAAAGTGTTACGACATTGACAACCTCTCACTGTTTTCCACTCTGCCAGCGTTGACTGCAACCTTGAAACAATAACATTCAGACCTGGAAAATTTTCTGGCTGATGTTGCATGACATGAAGTGTGTGTTTTTATTTGCATGACTGCATAGGTATAATAAAGTTCACACTTTAATGGACTCGTGCAAATACCTCTCAGAGGGTGCTAAATTACTTTTCAAATCAAATTTTGATCCACACTGGAGTGGGACCTCAAAAAAGAGTATGCTTGTTGAAACTTCTTCCAAACGTAATTAAAGGCATTAGAGAAGTAGTGTTGTGAGGATCCACCAAGTGTCTTGATGATGTGGTGATCAGAGATGGTTGACTAAAACTGCCTTACTGTCTTAATCATTCTTTTTCCTTCTTTTCCCTGCCTTCTTCTTGATTTTTTTTTTTTCCAGGTGAGGTTAGAGTGGCCAACAGACCTCACAGTGAACCCTCTGGACAATTCACTGTATGTCCTGGACAACAACATTGTCCTGCAGATCTCCGAGAACAGGCGTGTGCGGATTATTGCCGGGCGCCCCATCCACTGCCAGGTGCCAGGCATTGACCACTTCATTGTCAGCAAGGTGGCCATCCATTCCACCCTGGAGTCAGCCAGGGCCATCGCCGTGTCCCACAGCGGCATCCTCTACATCGCTGAGACGGATGAAAGGAAGATCAACCGTATCCAACAGGTCACAACCAACGGCGAAATCTCTGTAATTGCTGGAGCGCCGTCAGATTGTGACTGCAAGATTGACCCTAATTGTGACTGTTTTTCAGGTAAGGAGATGCTGGTTATTTCCTGTCTGTTATCTGTTGAGATCCTTTGACGCAGATGCAGATTAGCAAAGTGACAAGGGGAAGAGGAGAAAAGCAATGGTTCAGTTTCCTTGGATAGCTCAAAACCTTATCAGCACATCTTTGTGGATTTAATCCCTTGGCTTCTGAGATGTGAGTCTTCCACTTACCACTGGAGGAATGTCAGGGTGGTCCTAGCTTTTCCTCTTTTGATACAGAGGTGACACACCATTGAGTATGAGTCCCAAGTCTGTCTTGCTGTTTCAGCTGGCTTTGCCAATGTTGAACACGGTACCAGCTCCAGTGCAGATTGCACCTGAATTCTATTGAGTCAAGCAGCCTTTCTCACCAAGAACAGTATCAAGGTGTTTCATACCCAGTGCAAAACACTAGCTTATGCCATCTCACCACTCAAGTCACACTGCACTACCATAAAAATGGTGCAAACACATAATAGGTTGAATTTCTCCTTTGTGTTTTATGCTTTAAGAGCCAGTGCCAGACCTGCAGTGCACTGCTGGACATTCTCAGCTACTCTCCCCTGCAAGCACCAAAACAAAGCATGGCTTTTTTATTTCATGAAAACATATTTCAGAATGGGACAAAGGACAGCATTCCCGTACAGAGGTGTGCAGTATGTTGCCATCTTGTCATCTCTTTAGAACCACCATGTTCAGCTCCATAATAATGTCATCATAATTCTTAAGCCTCTCATTTCAAGTAAAAGGTTAATTACTGACAAGAAAACATTAAGTATGTCAAGAACAGAGAGGAAAAAATGCAAATGGTCTTGCAGAGAAGGTGTGTTGCTGACCCAGCATTGCAATGATAATCAAAGCATCCCATGCATTGCCAAGGGCTGCCAGCTTTAGTGGTGGCCATGGTAGACCAGTGCTGAAAAGAATCCTGTTCAGGGTTCCTATTGAGAGAAACTACATTCAGTCCTGAAAAGTTAAAAACTGTGGCAAATCTAATGATTGTGCCAGGGCTGGGTTGGGGAAAGGCAGGATCAGCTTGGCAGAAAGATCTGGTAATTTCTCCATCTCCCAGGAAGCATAGGCTATGCATGAACATTCCAGCAAATTTCATGTCTCAGTCAGGAGAAAGAGAGCAACACAGAGTAATGTTTTTTTCTAAGAGCAAGGATTAATATGCTTACTTGCTGATTACAGAAAATGCTGCTCATGTAAACTCATTTTGGTAGGCACATACAGTCCATGATAATGCAGATATCCTCCTCCAACCTTAAGTTACACAAACCAAGTAAATAGTCAAAAGATATTGGAAGAGATTGTTTCTCGGAGCACTTTTTTGCTCCTGTTCTTATTTTGTGGAGTTTTTAATAAGTATAAACTAATCTTTACTTTTAGCTGAATTACTGGGGTTTATTTTCTTTTTGTTTTATTTATAACACAATCTTGCTTTAAATACATGCCAAGAGACAATAAGTAGGGAATGAAACTTCAGGTGTCATGTTTTTTTCTTTCACAATTCTGCATTAAAACTTGCCTGAACAGCAGGGTTCAGGGCTTAGCAAAAACACTGTGAATTAGATAATTTATATTCCTGTTTGTCTTCATTGAGACTAATTTAGAATTGCACCAACCTTAGATAATAGGGATTCAATTAGTTGGAAGAGGATATCGGTTTATTGACCTGTAAATGATACTGAGGAGAGGCAGTGTGTCAGGCTTAGAGGAACAGCTTAAATAAGGATATTAGAGATTACTAAAATTACCATTTCTCCTCCAGGTGATGGTGGATATGCCAAAGATGCAAAGCTGAAAGCTCCCTCCTCCCTAGCAGTCTCTCCTGATGACACTCTGTACGTAGCAGACCTGGGCAATGTTCGCATCCGCGCCGTGAGCCGGAACAAGGCTCACCTCAGCGACACCAACCTGTACGAGATCGCCTCGCCCGCGGACCAGGAACTGTACCAGTTCACCATCAATGGCACCCACCTGCACACGCTGAACCTCATCACCAGGGACTACATCTACAACTTCACCTACAGCGGGGAGGGGGACGTTGGCACCATCACCAGCAGCAACGGGAACTCGGTTCACATCCGCAGGGACACGAGTGGGCTGCCCCTGTGGGTCGTCGTGCCAGGGGGCCAAGTGTACTGGCTGACAATCAGCAGCAATGGGGTTCTGAAAAGAGTCTACGCCCAAGGCTACAACCTGGCTCTGATGACATATCCTGGAAACACGGGGCTTTTAGCAACCAAAAGTGATGAAAACGGATGGACAACTGTGTATGAGTAAGTCTATGACATAAAATGCCTGATGCAAGGAACCCTAGTTTAAAAAATACCGAAACTTTTTTGACAGTTCTAGTAATTTAAAAAGAAACCCTGCTACTAACACTGTGTGAGAGAGGACAAATAGTGCTATTGCACAAGCGTTGGAAATGAAATTTCTTAGATGCCAAAGCCTGTCATATGTAAAGCTCTGTGCATTGTGCCCATGAAGTAAAGCAGAAACTGCCTGAAATTTTACTTCATTTGCACTTTCATATTGTGCATCTGTTTCTCTAAATGAAAATATGATAGTGGATTCTTTTTTTTGTAACTAAAGAGGTAGAGGCAAGTTGTGATATGAATCAGGAATTTGCGAAATTCTTAGGCAAGGCAAAACCAGGGAAATTAGCACACTCATCAGAGAAGGGAGTGTTGCAAAGGAAATTGAGAATCCCAGTGGAAGGAATATTCAGACAAGAGGGAGCTTGTCTCTATCAGCAGGAAAGAGGATATATAATGGCAAAAGGATCTGTAACAGCAAAAGGTTGTATATACAAGGAAAGGCTTCAAAAGCAAGACCATCAACAGGACTTCTAAAAAGCAAGACAAGACAGTTAAAGATGCAGTCAGAACATCCCAGTCTGGTCCCAGAGAGAGAACAACCCAAGAGGAAGTTCATTTTTTATTTATAAAGAGGTGTGATGTATTAGGATTTCTCATTACTTATAATTAATTGTCATAATCCCTGTTTGAGGATGCAACAAGTGATGGATGGAAATCATGTTAACAATGCAGTTCTAGTTCAGAGTCTGTAAGGAGTAATAATTTCAGCACTGAGAGTGACCCATTTAAATCCCCACTTGAGGATGGTGTGAATCCAGACCACGGACCAATGACACTTTCTAAAAGCCTTTACAGTAGCTCCAAGTCATACCTATTACTTTTAAATGCTGAGCCTCACGCGCTGTTGCAGGACCTTGATTGTTAGAGCAGATTATTTTTAGTCGTGTGCCTTTCAATCTCGGCATTTTACTCAGTCCCACTGACATTGAGTATAAACCATTTCACACAATTATTGCTTGTTCTTCTCATTAAAGTATGACTCAGGTGTAATAAGATCTTTTAAAGGACTTTACCTGCTTGCAAGTGCCTCCCATGGTATGTAATACTGATTTGTTCATGAAGAAATACCTGTGCCTGGGGAGGATTGATAAGCTGTATATGATTAACAAAGAAATTTTGCTAAATGAAACAGTTTTACATGCTTTCCCAGATTTAACTGTAGGCTAGGCAACACTGTTCTCACCGATGCTTCCAGTTTTCCAGGCTGTGCATGACCCCACACTTCTGCTAGCCTGGATCAGTCAATGAAACAGAACAGAAATTAATAGAAATACAACTGCTAACATTACAAAAACAAAATGACAAAATTAAATAGTGAAGCCATGTCATTAATATTTACATTCAGTCCAATATTTTATGTCATATTCATAACATATGACAAGTTCCTGAACGACTGATACACAGAATGTCACCCAGTGTGCTGCAGCCAGAGGGGCATCAGGCTGTAATCAGCACTGTGCTGACTCGATGTGCTTTCAGGAGATGCTGCTCACCTGCTGCCATGAATAGGTCAGGGGTTGTGATGGTCCTTTGTTATCCTTTAACCAGATATTATTTCCCAGACAGGTCACATTCGGTACTGACAGACAATTTCAGCTTGAAAATTGGAATTTTTTGAAGGGCTCACTTATATGTGAAATGCTGGCAAGCCCTATATGAACATAGCATTGGAACTGAGAGAATTACCATATGAGCATCTTTCAAATTGCTTGGACTCATCTTCTCTGCTTATGCTAGATTTGCATTCCCATCCAAAAGTTCATGGCACTGTCAAACTGAAATAGGGATGAGTTTGTTTAACAACACATATCACACATACTTGGGAATATGAGCAAAGATAATGAACTGTTCAGAACATCTACCTATATGTCAGATTCACTCACAGAGGGAAATTATTAAGAGGTAGAAAACCACCTACAAAAGTACTTGTCATCCATCTACTCTAATCTGATGGAATGGAAGTACTGAAAGAGCTCTTGCATAAAATTATAGCTAATGTACAATTTTCAGTCATCTAGATTTCTTTTAATATTGTATCATTAAAGCTGTAAAAGGGGAGGGGGAGCACTGGGCCTCTATTAAATCAAGGACAAGAAAACACCTGCAAGAAACAACTCTCTCTGAAAAAATTAATTAGACCGCTTTCCCTTTGAAATGATATAACTCTTAACTGTGCTACACATAGAAATGCAAATGGATTGTGAAGCTCTATCCCCATGTGTGCATTTCGAATATTGGTGAGCACTTTCTCATGTGGGTACTGAAATCAATGCAATTATTTGCATGATTAAATGGTCACTGACATGATTAACAGTGGCATAACTGAGCCCCAAATTAACATTAAGAAATATGTCATGATTCCACCCCTATTAGTATGGGCAGGACATTGCTCTGCAGGAGCTGAGTCCCAGTGTTCTGCTATTCATCATGTGGAAGGTGACAGAACCTGTCCTGGAAGGGTTGGGTTTCTTGGAGCAATCTGGAAGAAAAAAACCCTTTAGATGATCACGCTGCGGAATCAATATTGAGGCACTATTCTGCATGTCCTCCTTGAAGTCAGTGGGACCATCTACTCAAGTAAGAGCCTGTTGGCATGTGCTCTGGTCTCATTATGATTCAGTACCCTATCTGGCCAGCCAGCCAGGAACAGTTTATCCCATTTTCATCTACACAGGGAGTTTTGTATCTCATCAGCAGCAAAACTAGATCCTTAGTGAAGATGGATCCTGTGTCTTGTGCACAAGTACATTCCAATAAACTGGCTATATTTGCACCTTAAAAATGCATTATTTGGGGATTTTTCTGTGGTACAGTAGCAAATCCAAATAACCTAGCAAGCTGTCATATCTGTTTGATCAAGCAGTAAATGAAATATAGCTGCCCAATGTTCATGGAGTTTTCTAATGATGAAAAGTAGTGATCTGAGTCAATTTTAATCGCTGCCTCTGGCACCCAGTCAACTTGCACAGAACCAGCATAAGGGTAGAATGTAAATAAGTTGCGTGATGTATATGAGGGCAATAAGAGGTGAAAAAGAGATTATATTGAATTTAGCATTACCACAAGATGCTCATGAGTTCATTTTCCAGTGTTTCATTGGAAAAGAACAGCTGCTCTGTTTTTTTTTTTTTAATATTGAAGGAAATCCTGACTTTTTTTCACCAATACTTCTTGTAACATGTAGATTTTGTGTGACTAATTAGGGTCAAATAAAGATCCTAAGGAAATTATGCCAACACCTTTAAGGGAAGGACATAGCCAGATTGTCTGCTGATGTGAATTGGAAGAGGTCCTTTGAAGGCACTGCAGCTCTGCCAGCTGATACACCAGCTGAGGATATGTTTTGTCAATGAGAGGAGACAGTTAATAAAATTTGAAAACTTAATTATGTTTTCCTACCTGCACAAATAAGTTTCTATTTTATGAACGAGTTGGTTTTGCTCATGCAAACACATCTGCAATATCAGTGAGTTGTTTTACGTGAATAAAAACATGTCAGCATCAATAAAGTTTTTAAGCTGTGAGGCATTATTATAAAACAGTATCAAGCACCAAGCAATGTTCTGCACAGGTTTCCATATGAACCATCAGAAAGAACAAATACATTCATACAGCTGAAAAGACCTGTTAGAAATGCTGCTCCAGAGCTTTGGAATTAATTACTGACTTTTTGATGACATGACCTGATTCACATCAAGTACCTTAAACTACAAGAATTTCTTTAGCACTGATGAAGTTTAGGTGAACTGGAATGTGGTACTCTAGATTCTGGTGCTGGTACTTCTGACGAGAAGCTCCTGCTGATTTGAGTAGACCTGTGGGAAACGTAACACAAGAGTAAAACCCATGTAGGCAACTTAATTGCTGCAGATTTCAATCTAATTTTATCGCTATTGTTATGCTTTAGGTCCCTTTTTTATATTCACCATTCTTATTATGCACTTCACCCATCGGTGACAAAAGGCAGTTTTTAAGTGTTTCAGAATGTAAGAATTTTTATTTAATCCTATGGGTATGAAAACGCCTTTTTGGGGTTGAGTTGGTTGCCTGAACACTGAGTGACCTCCAGTGGCCTCACTCCTGCATCACAGCCCAGCTGGGGGAAACCCCAACCAGCACAGAAAACCTCTGGCAGAAGCTGAGTGATGTAGATGGCGTCTTATAGGTTTCCAGTCATATTTTATCCTGCACCACTGAAAGAGACTCTAGGCAGGAATTCAGAATAGGGACAGAATGCATTTTGAGTGAATAAATGGACCAATTATTACCTTTTTTACTTACTGCAGTGTTGACAATCCTTTTTACTTTTTTGCCTATTTTTTTGCTTTTAGAAGTCTTTTACATGACAATAGTTATGTATTTTCATGGCTCTTTAACATCATATCCTTCAGGTATGACTCTGATGGCCATCTGACCAATGCAACCTTCCCAACTGGGGAAGTCAGCAGTTTCCACAGCGACGTTGAAAAACTGACCCGAGTGGAACTTGATACTTCAAACAGAGAGAATGTGATCACAGCCACGAACTTCTCAGCTACCTCTACAATATATACTTTAAAACAAGGTAATGACAGCATTTCTGTTATTTCAAACCCCAGACATTAGTGCATTCTTAACTGTGTGCCAAAAAGAAAAAAAAAAAAAGACATTAGAATTAGTTCATTTGTTTCTTCCTTGCTTCAGCACAAACAGTTAGATACTGCTTACAATTCTCCTGGGGTATCAATTAAAAACAAACCACAAGGGAATTCTTTTCCTCCTAGAAGAATCCCATGAATAGAATCTACTTATTGAAAACTCCAGTGTCTGCAGGCTTTGTGTGCTACTTTCTACTTTAGTATCTGGAGGACTTGGATTAATCTCTAATACACTGAGCTTTGTTATTCTCAGAAATACTTCCCAGAAGAAGGACAGGTTCCACTGACATATTAGCCCTGAAATGCCTTGTTTGGCCAATGCTGTAAATTCTTTCTGGTAGTTCTGTGTCCTGGTGACAGAGCTTGTAGGAAGGGGCAAAACGTGACCCACCTCTGCTAGTGACTGCCCTGGGGATGAGATTTTGACTCAAACCCTGTAGACACCACAGTATTCCCCTGCCAATATCATCTCTCTCTCAAAAAAAAAATTGCTCTCTGCCTAATGGAAATGCCCCAGTGTCCTCCAGATTTTGCAGATTCATCACTGAACTTTTGGTTTTATACAGTTTTATCGACCTGGGGGCTTTTGTCCTTGTTGGGGTTTTTTGTTGTCAGTGGATTGTTCAGGCTTTGCAGGTGCTGGGAAATAGCTCTCTGATTTCCTTCCAGGTCTGCTACATAAAAGCTTTGTAACTGAGCACATCACAGACATTTTCTTATTCTCAACTTTTGATCTATAGGAAAAGAAAAGGAAGAATTTACCTCACAAGATACCCACTCATTCCTCTCCACTATTGTATGGCATTTCCGCTGTATAAGTGGAAATAATTATATTATATTGTGGTGTCACTCGTTAGGCTTTGTCCAAGTGACTCCATCTGCTCTCTGTATCATCTACTGCCTAATTGTATGTCTGTCCTTAAATCTGAAACTCTCAAAATTGGTATAATACCAAAGTTTGTCTCAGGAAAATACTTGCAGTCTATGGGCAGTGCCAGAAACTAACAGCTCATGGTTGACTCTCACTGTGCCTCGACCCCAGAGTCCTGCTGCTAATGGGGAAGAGGACAAGGTTGTGGTACAGTGATACAGGGAAAAGGGACAGGATGGGAGACCGGCTGTCACCCTAGACATTTGGAAAATAGCTTTCATGCTGGACCTCAGATAGTCTTGCACAAGCAGTGCATTGTCCTTTTGACAGATCCCAACATGCTAAAATTGTCACAGTATCAGTGGTCAATACTCAGTCTATGGGTTTACATACCTGTAAGCTGAAACCAAAAATGCTTTATTCCTACTGCCGGAAACATTCACATGGAAATCAACAGCCCAAATGTAAAAAAACCTCTTCAGACATGGGAAGGCCTGGAGGTTACAAAACTCACACTGCAGTTGGTGTGTGTTCAGCTGTCTGCAACCTCCCTGTGTAAAACATAAAGCCCTGTTGCACCTAACGTTTCGTTTGTTAATCTACTTGAATTTCTCTCTGTTCCCTGTTTCTGGTTGTTTTTTGACAGATAACACACAGAACATCTACCGGGTCAGCCCAGATGGGTCTCTGAGAGTCACCTTTGCCAGTGGAATGGAAATCACGCTGAACACAGAACCTCACATTCTAGCAGGGGTTGTCAGCCCCACGCTAGGGAAGTGCAATATCTCCCTTCCTGGAGAGCATAACTCAAATCTCATTGAATGGAGGCAAAGGAGGGAGCAGACCAAAGGCAATATTTCCACTTTTGAGAGAAGGCTGAGGGTAAGGCTTCCTCTTGTGTAAAGTGCAGTGTTCCCTTTGAAAGTCATTGAAGTAAAATCATGTTGAAATGTTATACTTTGTAAGAATAGCAATGAAAATTTTGTATTAATGATGGGCCCCAGCCATGAATTTCAAAACCAAACTCCTCCGACAGTCTCGGGGATATTTGATCTCTGTTTGATTTTGGTTGTAAGACTTGACCTTAAGACATAATTACTTCTTTTCTTCCCCTTCTTCTTCAACTAAGAACTTAATTATGGCTTTGGAAGAAGCTGTGAGCAAAGGACAATGTGTAGTTACTCTGGCACAGTGGCAAAGTTGGAGCTACATTCTGCATCTCTCAGATCTATTAACCCTCTTTCTTCTGGGGGAGCTAACAGGTGCCTGCTGCTGCCCGGGGCACAGAATCTTGCTGTGCACACCTTGGGTGTCCTGCCAATGCCTTTCCTACAAGTCAGAGTGATGTAGAGCCTCCCTGTGTGCATAGACAGGCTGTGTATTAATTCTGCCCTCTCCCACGTGCTCTCAGACCCCCTCACTCCCTCTGGCCGGGCTGCACCACAGCTCTAAGACTTGCTTTAACACTGCATCCTTGGTTTATTTTTACCTGTGAGGAGAACTCACAGATTAAAATGACAGATGGTCAACATTTAGCATTTAATTAGGTAACACTACGGCTCAAAGAGATTGCTACTTTGCCGAACAGGTTTTTTATGAAATCAGTTCTGGTTTTCACATGAATACCACTTAAAATGCCCGTACCAGTAGTAC